AACAATTTTTTGCGGTTAAATTCTTTTTGAATTTCGTATCATTGCTAAATTAAAAATAAATTCAGCATTAGTAAACCAAACAATTTATTATCAATTTATTAACAATTTATATTTATTAACTACTGCAATTATTACTGAACAAAATATCATTTACACTAAGTTAATGTAATTAATATATTGTATCTTCAATCATAATCGTTGTCAATAACGGTTAAATATTTGTTTTTATGCACTGAGTTTTACTGATTTTCATAACAATATCTATGAAATAGTAAATAATCAATTCATTTTTGTATCGATAACTCAGAACAAATAATCACACAAAGAAAATACAAAAATTACAAAAAATTGTTCGTTTTACAATTTAAATTGTAAAAATATGTTTCAACGTACATCGAAACGAAATGTAAAATATAAGCCCAACAAATTCTGGAATACGTAAATAAAAAGATAGGTGAAAAATGAAGTCCTTGGTACTTCCGAAGTTTAAATTTTTATGAAACGTGGAAATAGATGCAGGACATAAAAGGAACATCGATGGTAATCGAACATCGAACGCAAAACTTCAATTGTAGATCATATCGGAACTTCCGTTGCAAGGACACGAATCATTCTACACATGTGGACAGAAGACACTTGACATAAATATCGACTAACACTTACTTCTTCCGTCCTCGATAAAACAAAGGAATGCAATCTTCTCGCCGACGCTCTTCCAACAACAAAGGCCCTTGAAACGCACTTTGTTCTACTTTCACGGCTATCAAGAATGCTTCAAAAATCTCTCTCTCTCTCTCTCTCTCTCTCTCTTTCTCTCTTTCTCTCTAGCTATTGAATCCTTAGGCGACACTAATCAAGTCTAACGTCGCGATAGAATCACACTGCAACACCTTTCGAGAATATTACAGCGCTGATTGTTATCAAGTCGTTTCGCTTTGAACGAGCAAGTCCATACGTAATTGTAATCACAAATATTATACTACTTGATATCGTATATGAATCATCATCAACCTGCACATGCTTTTCACGGTTCAATAGCAAATGTTCGCGATTGTTACACAAGCTTTGATTACAGCACTAGTCTCATAATTCCACAAAACAACAGAATTAAAAACTCAAATCCAGTCAGGTCTTTTTATTCCGCAAATTACTGAGATCATGAAGCTGCATTTGTGTGATAAAATTAAAGAACTTCATTTATCTTATTTTTTAATAATATCCTGATCACATATCAATTAGTGCACTTATAGGTTACAACTGAATAATTTTTCAATCAGATTTGAAAATTAATTTGTACGCTAATCTATTATGATTTCCTAATTTTAAAGAAAATGAAATGAAATCAATTAAATTAATTAAAATAGAACGTAAGAATGTTGAGAAAGTGATGTCATACGACTTCACTCTGCAATTTTTTAATTTAATTAAATAAAATACTTTAATTTTATAAAACTCTTGAAGTTGTTAGGGTGGCATTCAAAGTATCCAAGGATGTTTTAGTATTGATCTTGTTGCCTTATTTTCAACTTAGCAAAATATCGAACAAAAGGCACAATAACGTTTGATCACGAACCATACGAAATGACCCAGAAAAATCGAAGTCTCTGCAGTCTTCGCCACTGTCGCATGCACCGAAGTCATTTCGGATTGCTTCGGCAGGAGTTCTAGGTTCGAGCAATTAAATTCTGATCGTCGAACACTTTTTCTGAAACAACTCGCATAACACTCGAACACTGGAACTATGTCACCACTTGTCATGCAATCGCTATTAGACCGAAGTCCGTCAAGTTGAACGAAAGGAGTTCACCGGCACAGTTGCGATGTTCTCGGCTCCTTTATCGCGAGAAGATTGTTATCGACAGGGATGGAATTCAACGTGTACAGTAAATTCTCCCTAACTCTCCCTAATTCTGTCAGATCGTACACAAAAATGAATAATTTGGGAAGAGGAGATACGATTATTCGAGCCTTTCAGCTCATTTTTATAGCTGTTGACAATCGGTAACTATAAAAACGAGCCGCAAGACTCGAATAATCGTATCTCCTCTTCCCAAATTGTCCACTTTTGTGTACAATCTGAGCGTCAATTAGGAAGAATTTACTGTACTCATCTACCTGTTAATTACAGTGGATATGATTACTTTCGGATCTTCATGCAAAATAAGAATTTTGTTGATTGCTATCTTATTTTATTATTCTAGTGTTCTTATTTTATATTTTTTTCTTATTTCACGATTCATTTGGGAATCACGTGTCACTTCCTTGTTAGTAATTTTGAAGTAAAGAACCAACTCACATATTTAACCCTAAAATGATATTCTCGTACTTCAGACTATACAATTTTATATCCGGTGTGTTTTAAAATTCTGTAAAAATTTACTACAACACTTTTTAATATGTAGTTTAGGATAAACGAATCCATGTGTTCGAAAGAAGGTCAAAAACTGCGTGTATCCAGTTCTCTGTAATGTAGAAACGAAATTCAATGTGTAGAAAAACTTACTACACTCACGAGAGACTACAAGATAACACCGGAGAGTTGTATAAACATACTGATGCACATACGTATGTGGAATGTCAAAGTTTAATATTCATAAGGTGATAATTTCTTTGAATTTATGGAAACTGAGAAATATATATTCATATTCATGCTCCCCAATTTAACGACCGAATAAGACATCTCAAAGAGATTGAGAATATATAATATATTTGAAAAACAAAATGATTATTCACTTGAACATAGTCAGACAAATGCAAGGAGTATATGCCAGCAGCTTTCACCGAAAACAAATCGCACGGTCGCACAGAATAGAACAATCCAGGTGAAAGTGCTGACAAAAAGTTCAACTCTACTAGGTCAAGGTCCGATCATACTAAAGACTATCACTAGCTCTCTTCCCAAAGTACGAAGACTTCAAACCCCGGCACAAACCTGCTATCCCTGGCAAAAAGTATTCGATCACGTTTTAAAATGTAATGACATTTTCAAAACTGGACCAAATGGCTTGAATTTTTTTTTACTTGTTAAAACGACTAGTTTACAGTGCAATGATTAAAATTTTTCTGTTTAATTTTGCTGTTACTTGCAATGAGAAAAAAAAACGTGGAACGAAATTTAAAAAAAATAGCTTTTTGTTGTATATCTCGGTAACTTATATGCGTACTGAAAGTTTCATCGAAATCGATTAACGGTTGTTACAAGTTACAAACAATTGAAAATCGTGAAAATCGGAGGTTCTATCAGATCTCAACCAAAAACAAATAATTTTGGCATCTTTCAGAGGCCTGTAGCTTTAATATGCGTCAACCGATTTCAATCAAATTTACTATAAATTTTCTATAAATTATTTAGATCTACAAAATGCATCTTTAAAATGTTCGTTCCAGGTTCAGATAAAAAAGTTAGAAAGCGGGTGCTTCTTATATGTATATTTTTTGTCATTCCAAATAATAGCATAATTAAAAAGAAGTATTTTAATCATGTTACTGTAAACTAGTCCTTGTAATAATTAAAGCAAAATTCGAGTCATATGATCCAGTTTTAAAAAAGTTATCGTGCCTTAAAAGATGATCGAATACTTTTTGCCAGGGGTTGTACTCACTAGTATTCTGTAATCGCACCTAAGGATCTCTGTATCGTTCCATTAAAACGTTGAGTGTTTCCCCAAAGTACAGTGTTATAGTGTTGTGTCGACTGTATATTGAACAGATTAATTGTTACTAGGATTTTTAGAATACAAAAGAATCAGACAGATATTTCCAATGGTAATTTTTCACCTTTCAGTTTCTGTTTCAGTAATTAAATGGCTATTATATATACAGTAAATTCTCCTTAATTGACGCTCAGATTACGCATAAAAATGGACAATTTGGGAAGAGGAGATACGATTATTCGAGCCTTGCGTCTCGTTTTTATAGTTGTTGGCTACCGGCAACTATGAAAACGAATAAATAATAATCGAGTAATCGTATCTCGTCTTCCCAAATTGTCCATTTTTGTGTACAATCTGAGCGTCAATTACGGAGCATTTACTGTAGTGGGAATTATTGGGGTTGATATTGAGTAAAATCAACTAATTACACTTTATCCCATCTGCAGTCAGCGAGGACGTCTTTCTGTCACTGGCAATCTACACTACCGCCACTAACAATCTATCACTGTCACTAGTTACCTGCACTGTCACTAGTAATCTACACTGTCACTAGAAATCTGCACGGTCACTAGCAATCTACGCGGTGACTAGCGACCTGTTAGAGGGAACTCGCGCGCGTTTCGAGAGATCGCGAGCACTGACCCGGCTTCGGGATTGTCGTGTAGCACTCGACATCATGAATATATCGCCCGGCCACCTGTCTGTCTCTCTACCTGTTGACCACGCCGTGCGAGCGTCGTGCGCCTCGTGGATCCGACAAAGACAGCTGCAGGGACAATGAAACATCGTGGAGGAGGGGAACGAACGCGCGAGTAGGGAGAACGATGAATTAAGGGAGTAGGAGATGAAAAAAGAAGCTGATAGGAGGGCCGAGTCCGAAAGTACAGGGAGAAGGGGTTAGCACGAAGGGAGGAAGGGACGAGCACCGGTGAGATGGAACAGCGTCTCTTTTCCACGTGCTCGTTTCACGTGGCCGCTGCGGGACGGTGCAGGAGCAGGAAGAAAGGGAAAGGCTCTCTCTCGGCCTCTTTCTCTCTCACCTTCCAGCTGTCGACCCTCTCGTCGGGGGAACCATTGCAGGAGAATGATGCACTTCCGCCCTCTAATACGCTCTTCTTTCCGTCCCGATGCCTCGGATTAATTTCGACCGCGTTTCGCGTGTGCGATCGCCTTTTTTACGCTGCAAGAGCGAACGAATTGCTTGATTCTAACACGTGTTCAACGAGAGGTCAATTACCTCGCTGGATTTAGACAAGATCTTTTCTTGCGATGGTAGAAAGTGCCGGTACGGAAGGAATGATTTTGTTTTGAACGCGGTATGAAGAGAACTGGAAGATTATTCTAGGGTGGTCCGGGTAATCAATGAACACTGGGATGGTTCTAAATTGTCGATTTTGTATTCTTTCTAGACTTACGTCATATTGACGCGGCCCAACGGAAGAGTCTCCCAAAATGTGATTATTCTTTTGTCTGCATTGGAAAAGTTTAAAAGATTTATATAGCGTCACACATGTCTGATGACTACGATTTTGTATTTCAGGCGAAGAACATCGAATTAATTTTGTGAACATAATTATTTAAAATTGTAACACATGCCATGATATTTAGCGAATTTAGAGATTCTATGTGACAACATTTTTATCATATTCTATAAAAATCATGTTCTTCAAAATGTCAATTAGAATCAATGCAAGCATCAAGGCGATTAAGCAATGCAAGTGATACATGCGTGAGTGTTTCATTTCAATTCTGTCAAGTAACCTTTATATTTTGATAAAGAAGGAAGATAGCAAAAATCATTTCTTTATCTGCGTACCAAACAACATTTGTGCGAAACGTTTTTTATACAACATGTAGTTTAAAAGACAAATTCCTTATTTCAGAAATTGCTGAAATCTACGCTAGTGAAATTTGCTCTTTCCTAGTTCCAAAAAGTACTACAAAAAGTGTTCAGTATTTCTGCAGCTTTCGAATGATTTATTATGAAGAAGCTACATTAACCCCTTTACAGTAAGTTTACAATTAAACTGTCATTAGTTTGTTGCATCGCAGACGCTTCACCTTCCGCCGGCAATCATCGAGACGAATAATGAGTGTGTACGCAGGAAACAGCCTAATCGCAGAAATTAAAAGCTAATTATTATCGAAGCCATGAAATCCCCGGACATCGTCCAATTTAATTCGAGGATATAAACGTCGATAACTGCAAGGAACAAACGGTATATTTCAAGAACGTTCAATTTCTTAAGACCACTTCGTTCTCTACTTTTGCTCTCTCGGACTGAAATTACAGATCCTCGAGAACGGAACTCGGTTTGTTCGGTACGCGTTGGCACTCAACCAAATAAAATGATATCGATCCGGGGAATTTCGTATTCCTACCATAATCTTTCACCGTAATTCCCTTCATCGTCGGCCTTAATGAAATCTAAACAAAACACCAATAGTTTAACGCTGATTATAGCGCAGCTTGAATCAACGCGAGAAATCGTTTTACCGGCAGAATTTCTACCTCTTTTTACCCCTTTTTAAATACTCGCCGAATGATATTCGCTTGATCAGCGGGTTTAACGTTCCGGCTGATTAAAGTAAACCGAAACCTTTACTCGTGCACGAATTAAATCGAAAGTCATCCTACCGGCTAACCCACATTTCAATTTACTTTCTCTTACATTCCTATTAAGCGTACCATAGAAAAATTTTCACGCGAGGAATACGCCGCCGTGTTATTTCCATCGACCGTGCCCGATCCGCTACGAATGTTACCGAGGCGCTCTTTTTTTCGCTTTGCGATCGACGCATCTGATAGGCGGATACACGCGGAGGTTATAAATATTATCCACAGATTAAAAGATACATGAAATGTTCTCATAACTGCGGCATTGTCGTCCTTTGATGTGATTACGTTTTGTCCTGTTAAGGGTTGGAACATTTCGTCGCGTTCAAACGTTACTCATATTTTAAAACGACAGCAGAAGTAACTATTTTATCGATTTCGATTTTTGTCGTTTTTTTACTTTTTTTTACTTTTTTAAATGTTCACTATATTGCAAGAAATCTAATATTAATAGAAATATATATATATTTAAACACTAAGGGTAGATGTCCCAGTTTCCGTGCCTGTCTCAATTTCCATGTCCCCGGTTTAAAAACATATAAGAAAAGAAAGGTTTTATATATAAATTGATGACCTATATTTTCTTATTACGTTCACCTATCAGCGTGTAAAATTCAGGGAGAGGTATCAATCTATACATAAAATTTTTCTTTTCTTATACATTTTTAACCAGGCTGCACGAAAATTGGAACAGGCACGGAAAGAGTAGACTAAGGTACACTATTACTTTCGATGAAATTTTCAGTATGCGTATAAGTTATCAAGATCTACAAAATGCATTTTTAAATTTTCGTTGTAGACTCAAATAAAAAAGTTAAAAAACGTGAGTTTTTAGTTGTTTTGTTATTTCAAGTAATAGCAAAATTTAAAAAACGAATTTTAGTTATTGTCTGGCAGACTAGTCCATCTATCATCTAAAGAAATTCAAGTCATTTAGTCCAGTTTTAAAAAAGTTATGCTGTCTTAAAGGGCATCCACAAATATTTGTCTTTGACTGTATCTAAATAATACAGTGAATAAATAATAGACCGTTGTACAAAGCAATGTTCGGATAAGGGAGTCTTTATTGTACATTTAATAACTTAAACATAATCTAGCAAAATTCTTCATCTTTTCTAATATTATTTGTATTCCATCTATTCGGTTTTGTTGCAATGTCTATTTATTATCGAACTACAGAGTCTTGAAGCATATTGAAATTATTTAAGTATTATTTACGAAAAGACCATATCAAAAATAAAAAATAAACAAACGTTAATTTCCTCTGCGAACAATATTGATCACATTTATTTTACACATTATATCTTACAAATATACACGAAAAGCCATAGTTTAAATCTTGCAAAATATTTAATATCTTACAGTACACAAACTAGGAAACTAAAAGTTAACGATTTCAAAGTAAATAATTAGAAAGTGCAAAATACATACTGTTTCAGTAGCAAGTAGAAGACATTCCTTCGAAATCAAATCGTGATTTGCACCGGAAACGAAGATCAATGGCAATTAAGAACGTCTTCAAAGGCTTATTCAACCAACAGATTCTTCGAACCATGAATTACCATACATCCTCCAGAAATCCACAATGCTCCCACTTCCTTCAAGGCGAATTGAAACCGCCACGGTTCCTCGACTTTTCCCACGCATCCCGTATGCGTGACCAACTTTTCAGGAAGCGGACGGAGGTGTGTCGTGGTCACACATGGTAGTATGTGGTTCCCAAAAAAGGTAGGTTCGGAGCGTATAATCATTTCCACGTGGGCAAGCACTAACCTACCTGCGATAAAGGGTGTCACTCGCGTGAATAAAGATTAAACTCCTAGAAAATTTGAACGCGTTATTCAAATACAAGCTGTCTGTATCTACATTTACAAAAGACAGAAAAGCTACTTAAAAGTTCTTTTTTAAAATAATTTTAGTTAATCCAAAGTAACGTGTCGGTTTTCTTCGATTAATTGAATCTGCATCATTCTAAACTGCAATTATTCATTTTTGTTTGAAATGCATAAAATCCACGATATAGCAGTACACCAGAAATTATTTCGCACTTTTAATATAATACAATAAATTATATAGAATAACAGAGTGAACATAATACACTAAATCCTCCACATTGCTAGCATTAAAAAAAACTGTAGGAAACAATTTAAAAAGGTGAAGGCGACAATACAATTATCCAAAACCCTCTATTTATAAAAACATTAATACAGCCACATTATGGTATAAATTTTTCAGCTCCTTCAAAAATAACAAAGGTATCTAAGATAAAGTAATTACTAAATTGCGAGTCTTCATGCATTTATGGCAGATGCAGATTTTTAAAATGCAAGAAGACATATAAATTAACAAGGTCTAATAGCATTTTCATTTTATTTTCACAATGAGTAATTTGCATAAAATGAGTACTTGCAGAAAAATTTGCATTCTGGTAATTACTCCACACGATATAAGAATGCATTTACGTTGGAGCTACGATATATGATAAGAGCGTTGATGGAAACAAAGCGTAGAAATGCATTCTATTGTCCTGCATGAAACTGTTCGCGATGGAGCAGCGAGCAGAGCGACATGTATACATATATTTTTTGATATATCGTACTGCTGAACTTGAAAACAATAATAAATTTTCTGTAAAATCACTTATCTTTGAAAAAATCTTATCTTTTTAGCTGTGTCGATCAAACTTTAAGACCAATTTCGTAACGATTTTAGCGGCAACACTGTGTATAGTTTCTCCAATAAAAATCTTTTATAATTATTCAGAAATGCGTGAAATTTATGAATACGTCCCACAATTTATTAAAATCGTAACAAGACATAAAGTTCCAGTTATTGAATTACTTTAAATAAAAAAGATATGTTTAAGAAGTATTATTGTTCTTCTGTAATTTAGACGAGTTTTATGAACACAATAGTTTAGCCTTGATCAGATTTTACTTTAAAAAAAACTTTAATTCAACTCTATATCAAACTTTATATCAGAAATTCAAGAAGTTAGTTTCCGCATTTTATCGGTCTTAAGAAGTTAAAGTTTTGA